AAGGTGGAACTGTCAGCACAAGGCGTGAATGTCGGTTGATTTATACCACACTTTTGCTGGGATTGCAATTATTTCTTCACAGTACTGTTCGACTACTATCTGTGAACCCATAGGTGTTAATCCCCGTATTGTTGTAAATAAAGATAATTACTTAATGACAAATTTATTACACGCCCCATAACGAGTACTGCGTGTTATAAACTACACCCCTCTGCTGGGGGAGTGAAGGGGTAAGGAGTAATTCTTGGGTAACGGAACATTCACGTCGCAACGCTTAACCACACTCATTCCCGACCCTCTCCCACCGCATCAGTTATGGGGAACGAAGTTATGGTCTCCATACAGCGTCTTCCAAAGGTAACCCTCTTTCCCTGATATGTCCTTGTTCCGTAAAATGCATAGCACAGCGCGCCAAGCAACACACATATGGCGGTTAAAGCAGTTTTGTTTCTGTCGTCAACTAAAGTGTGGTGTACGCAAGATACACTAACAACTAATCAACGCCTAAATACTTTTGAAATCCTTTGAACTTAAGCTCGATTTCGTTATGCTGGGAGGTGTTTCTGGTTTATGTTGCGGATTTCGGCATGATTTCGTATGAAAAACTATCGTTTGAGGTCCTTATGCGTGTGATATGTTACGTTTGATTACTTCGGCCCCAGTTCGCGCTTTTTGGGTGCGTGCAGGTTTATGTCATCATGAAGCGGCCTCGTCAAGTTTCGCTTCATTCACGAGAACCTTAACATCATTGTCTGATCCAGTCGTTGAAGGTGGGCTTCTTCAATTATTCTTCTTTTTCTGCCCTGAAATACTAGGAGAACATCGAATTGTACGACAAAAAAAAGGCTGCTACTTCAGAGATTCTTCTGCCATTGTTTAATAATTCAAAGTTTCGAGAAATTATGGCAGCTGCATTATATTCTTTAGCATTCTCACTTAAGCTCGATCATTTCAACGAGACAGTGAACGGACGAGGGATAGAAGAAGTAATTCTAAGGTCAAAAAATCAAGTCACACGGCACCCAGACGCGACCACCCCTCGTATCGACCTGGTTCGTTTGCGTCGGTTCAATTTTTTGTGTTTTGGATTATCGTTTTTTTTGTTTCTTGAAGAGGGATCAAAATCATGCAATTGTATGAAGGCATTAAGATGGAAGACATGGTAGCGAGAACGAGAACGAAAAAGATGATGGTAATGATCCGAGAAATGAACTTGTTGCGAAATTAAGGAAATTCTTTGCGATTTCTTTGTTTGCATATGGAGTGCTTTACTTGATTAGGTGAGGACTTTTTGTTTCGCGGATATTGCTTTCACCTACCAATTCCACTTCGTCCCATTGGGGTTTTTTGTTGTTGCTATTGCTAGAATGTTATAGTCCTAAATCGGACGGTCCTGCCGGGTTTGTATCCATAACATGGAGTGAATTCGTCAATGATTTATTACCAACGGGTCAGGTACGGCACTGATTCTTTTACAAATTCATATCTTAGTTCTATTGACTTATTTCCTTTCAGATCCATAAAATCATTGTTTTTCCTGAAAAGGATGTAGCTTTCATATACACCTATGCAGGGTCCAAGACAGCGTCAGGGGAGCCGGTCAGCTTATTTTTTGCATTCATATATAATCATTTTCCATTTGGTATATTAGAAAGTTGCCTTTTTTTCAAGATGGCATCTATCTATCGTTTGGGTATTCCGAGCCTTTCTCGATTTGAAGCAGAGGTCCGTGCCGCTGAAAGTGCGCTAAGATTACCTCCAGAGCATTGGACACCGATTCAATATCGACGAATGGAAGCAGTGTTCGTTTAGCAAACCAGTCTTATGTCGCTACTTCATGTTTTTTTCATAAATAAAACCTTTTTACAGAAGCCAGTGGTTGACGCTCATCCTGATCAGTGGCCTTGCAATTGGAGTCTACATATTGTTCAGAAAGTTCAAAGGATCGTTCAATCTTTCGGACATGATGGTCAGTTGGGCCGTCTTGGACTGGTGAATTCAATTCAGTGAGCTTTGTTTTAGTCAAACATAACGAAGGGCAAGTACACCGTCATCGATCCACATAGTCCAGAAGGAAAGAAACAGCTGAAGATAAAGTTCAAGGTGGGTTTAGCTCTCTTATTATTTACTTGAACATGTAATTTGAAGAACATTTTTTTTAAATCAGTCTTTCTCGTTCCGCTTCTTTTGGCCTTTCGTTTGGATTTTGCCTCATCATAATTCTTTACAGATTTTGCTCATTAGAAATTCCACTTTTTTCAGCAATTCTTATATCCCAATCTTTCAGGATGTTGCCGGATGTTATGAAGCCAAACAGGAGATAAGCGAATTCGTCGATTATCTCAAAAACCCCAACAAATACACCGTGGGTCTTCTTTTCTTCTTGTGAATACTCAATAACCATATCAAATTTTGTTGCAACGCTCTTTAATGGGTGTGTTCGATTAAAGTCGAGGAAAAATACTGAGTTTCTGATTTGGATTACTATTCTGAGGTTTCCAGAAGTTGGGTGCTAAGTTGCCTCGTGGTGCGTTGCTGACTGGTCCTCCGGGATGTGGAAAGACACTTATAGCAAAAGCACTTGCCGCTGAATCAACCGCGCCATTCATTTCCATGAATGGATCGGAATTTGTTGAAGTAATCGGAGGTGTGGGCATTGTTTTGTAATCCGCCAATGTTGTTTATGCTTATTATTTTACTCTTAGCGTTTGCTTAGTTTTTTTTTTTGTTGCTTACTTATACGTTTTGAGTGGTGAAGTTGTTGCTTGACAATTTCAAAATATATGCTTAGTTAGCTCCCTTGTTCTTGAAAATTCTTTTCAATTTTGGTTTTCAGGCCTTGGTGCTTCACGTATTCGTGGCCTGTTTAAAGAAGCACGTTCGAGGGCACCATGTATCATTTACATTGATGAGATTGACGCTATCGGAAAGAAGAGAAGGGAGTCAAAAGGAGGGGAATTCGGAGGCGCGTAAGAAAAGGAGTCCAACTTTTCATCAATGTATTATGTGGTTTGATAGTTTAGGCGGTTCCAATGAAGAAGAGCAGACACTTAATCAATTACTAGTCGAGATGGATGGTATGGGTAGTGGACAGGGTATCGTGGTATTAGCTAGTACAAACCGTCCAGATATTCTTGACAAAGTATGTCGGCGGGTTTTTCTAGTTGGTCTAGGTTGCATTTCTTACTGTCTGTTGTGTACTTGTTTATTTCTATTGAAAAGAAGGGAGCATTTGTCTGATTTTGAGATTGCTCAGGCTTTATTACGTCCTGGTCGATTCGACCGTCATATCAACATCGATCTGCCAACTGTAATTGAACGCAAAGAAATGTTTGATCTTTATCTTAAAAGAATAAAGCTCGATCATCCGTATAACAAATATTCTCATCGTCTTTCTCAGATGACGCCAGGTTTCACAGGTACTGTACAGCGAAGTGTTTGATTGCTTTAAAGAAAACTACATGCTTTCAAACTGTAGGTGCTGATATATCAAATGTTGTCAATGAAGCTGCTATTCGAGCTGCATCAACTGGAAAGCATGTTGTCACCGTGAATGAACTGGAATACGCATTGGATCGCGTTTTAGCAGGTGAATTACTTAAAATATTTCTGAATTCTCATAGCAAGGAATATCGTCATATTTTTGAATGACGGTTAGGTTTACTATGCCCGTTATTCCAAAGGTTTTTGTTGGTGTGAGTTAAAGAATACTACTTTCAACTGTTATCTTTTCATGTGCTTCTAGGGGCCGAAAAGCGTTCTCGTTCTCTCATTGAGGAAGAACGCGAAGTAGTTGCCTATCACGAGGCTGGTCATGCTCTTGTCGGCTGGCTTCTCGAGCACACAGATGCCCTTTTGAAGGCAAGTTATTTTCGTAAAATATACCCCTAAATTCATCTTTATATCCGTGATTTGAAGGCGGAGGTGGTGTAGTGGCAAGTGGCGCACTATATCACACGCATGGTCAGGGGTTCGAANTCGAATCCCGGATCGATGCCAACCAAGCCTTCCATCCCTCCGCAGTCGGTGAATTGGTACCAGACTCGTCTGGGAGGATAAAAGTACTGACTTGTACATCGGCTGGCCACCGCAATTCATTGTATGGTCCACATACGCACTCATTACGCCACTACGATTCTGAATGGAAGTCGAGTGCGGGGGCGCATCCCTCAGACGGGATTGATTGACGCCAAAAACTTTATCCTTTATTCTTAATCCGTGATTATAGAAGCTTGAAACAAGGCTGTGAACCATTCTATTGATGCTTTCGGGTTGTGAGGGCTTTGGAAACAGCTTTTACGCTGCGCGTATTGGTCTTATATGCATCGCATTGCATTGCTCCTCCTTTAATGTCAAAGTTTCGTCTTTCATGGTGTGTCCTGTCCTGTCGAATAGACAAACCACGCATTGGCAAATGTTTGAGAAAATGCGCCTATCATAAAAAGCTTCATAATCTCGGTTATGACAGGTTCAGCCGTTTAATAGCAGCCTCAAGGTACTTTTCAGGTCACTATAATTCCACGCACATCTGCTGCTCTTGGCTTCGCACAGTATAGTCCCAAAGAAAAGAAATTGTATACAAAGGAGGAGGTACTACAGAGCTTATTCATAATTCAACAGCATTTGTCTACCTTGTGGCATAGCGCAGTACTTGTTTCAGCTGTTCGATAGAATGTGCATGATGCTCGGTGGTCGAGCTGCAGAGAACATTAAGTTCGGTCGAATAACTACAGGAGCCGAGGATGATCTCAAGAAAGTGGGCAGGCAATAATGAAATTCTGCCTCATCTAACAAACTTCGATCTTCCGAAAAACCTTNCTTTCAGGTAACGAAGTCGGCGTATGCACAAGTAAAGGTGTATGGTATGAATAACGTTGTTGGCACTTTATCTTTTCCACCTGACGATGATTTCCAAATCAAACCGTTTAGTAAGAAGTTTGGGCATATTATGGATCAGGTGAGAATTACTGTAAATCCGCTTGGAAAAGTTTTCTCAAAAGCTGATCTTTTTTCCTCTTCAGTTTAATGATTCTCATTATCTTTTCTTTCGATCTAGCTTCTTTTGTGATTATTGAAATGTAGTTTTTTTTCTTCGAAGGTTTTCCTAATAGCATTTTATTTAGGAAGCTTCGAGTTTGGTTGGGGAGGCCTACCGTAAGACAGAGACCCTTTTGCGAAGAAATGCCGATAAGCTAGAGAAGGTAAGGAGATCGGTTCAAAAAAGGTTCCTTGTCTGTATAAGGCTCGTGACTCGATGCATCTTCAGATTGCGCAGGAATTGCTAAAACGAGAAGTTCTTAATTACGATGATGTCAAGAATCTCATTGGGACACCGCCATACGGGGAGAAGCACGTTGTCGAACTGGTAGACAATGTCTTGCCGAAAGAGGGAACGTAGTTGTACATGATGTGTAAATAGTGTTAAAGATTGATTATGTTATAAAAGAAAAATAAATGTGTATAGTCTCAGTGAGGTCGTACAAACTTGATCCTAGGAATTTATTTTCTGCTCACTACTAATCCACTAGGTTCTTGACAAAAGGCAAAGTGACTGGTATACTATTCCTTGGAAAGGATAGAACCGACAAACATATTTACATCATCTCGACCCACATACGTATGTTTTACAGACTAGGAACAATTCAATTTTACGGAATGTCACTTCAAGTGCTATAAGAGAAGTTGAAGAATCACCAGCAGGAAGCCTAAGCAGGACCAAAAACTATTGCGGCTGGTTGGGCTGGTTTTTCGCCTTTGAACTCAACTTGTTTGCTGCTTTGACCTTCTCATTTTTTATAGTTTTATAGTATAGGGAGCAGATTATTACTTAAGTTGTATGAAACGAATAAGCACAGACAATCATGTGTTCCTGAACGCGACGGGGACCAACAGGTTTGATTTGGGAAGAAGCAGATCTGTAGGAGTGTAGTGGAGTTTGGAAGCAAGTTTTATTGAACAGGACCGATGAAGGTTATCCGACAACCTACTGTAATACACATGGCCTGCACAGTGTATTGGATAGTACAGATGGGAAAGTCAGTTCTCGTATTCATGATTAAGTAATAAACAACAACACATGGATTCATTATCGTAATCATGTTAAATAAAGTTTATCATAAAACTAATCGCTAATATACATATTGACAGTAAACATGGGGCTATTCTACTACCATCTGTAAATTGGTATTCAATGAATTTGTTTGCAGGTTTAGTTGGTTCAAACTCAGCTGTTTCATCATGGTCAGTAGTCCCGGGTGAAAGTTCTCTTGAATCAGGATCTTCGATCAAGTTTGAGTGCCATTCGGATTCGTCTGCAGATTCAGCTGGTTCAAACTCAGCGATTTGTTCACTATCGCCAGTCTCCGATGATGGGACTGCGTCTAAAGGAGGTTCTTCGACGGAGTAATCAACTCGGTAGTCGATCGTATGTTCCACAGTTTCTTCATCAGTGTGAATGCTGTTGACAAACAGGACAAAAGAGGTCATGATCACTGCAAAATTAAGTTTATTAGACAAACAAGAGGTAACGATCAATAGATGGTAAATTTTTTCAGAATTGGACATACCGAGAAATGGTCTTCCAGGATGCATGGTGATGACTGTTGTGGTTGTCTTCGAAGTGCAAGTGCTTATGTGTCCCCTTTTTATACATTTGTTGTTGGTCGTTGGTCTGACCACATTTCTCGACCCGATTCGATGAGTCAATTTCGATTATAAAATTCTGACCAAAAACGTGAGGAGTGCGATTATTTTTTTCGCCAATGTTTTGGCACGATGGCTCGACGTTTGCTTGAGCCCTTCATTCCGTAAATTTAATTCCGACTTAAGAACATCACTGCCTATCGACAAAAAATGTTTCACGGATTCACATATTGTGCGTAGGACTGTTTTTGCTTCGTAGGACCAACAGTGTGGGAGATGGGGAAACTGATGTAGTTGCTCGGGGCGCCACCATCCCGTATGGTCCGTAGAACGAACCGCTAGCCGTTTGTTAGATCTCCATAGCTGGATCGATGGTAGACCAATATGAAAGGGAAAGGTTAAGTATGCAATCAGTGGCCACTACGGTTTGGAAGCGGAAAAACCTTTCCGCTCCTTTAAGACATAGGTTTGTCCAAAAGGTTCACTAGCTGAGATCTCACTACCTTTACCTCTATAATCGAAGATCTACTCATTACATACTACTAATATAATTACATAACGCTACTATTGTAGTACCGCATCCTTGCCATTGTATAATAAAGAATGCAAAATCGTTAACAGTTTTATTCATCATCTGTTTTTTATTAATATAATAGCAAGTATAGACATAATTATCCATTGTTTTTGCTTCGTTATGATTCCCATTCCGGACGACGTCACTGCAAGAGGCTCTGACGTTAGTTATACGATATAAGGGTAATTAGTCCAAAAAGATTAGCGGAAAATGGAACGGTTCGGGTAGGATGGCTGCGGCTTCCCTGATGATACGGTATGTGAAGATGTTCAAGATTATTGCCTTCTTGAAAAAGGGGTGGGGGAGGGGCGATTATACGCGTGTGAGGTCATTTCAACAACATCGGAACCATGCATTTCAAATTTCTAGTCTGAGAACTGGTAATTTGAGTGAAAAAACTTCAAAAATGGATAGCGTCTTTACAAGTCTTTACAAAAGTGACAGTTAGAAATGAATGGGCCAAAAGGAGTTCAGGAAGGCCAAAAAGAAGCAACTAGCAGATGCGGGAGGGTGCACAAAACTGAAGCCATCAAGATGACGGAGGCTAAAGGCGCACAGGATACTCAGACTCGATGGACTGGTATCAATTTGTGTTTGCAGAGAGCAATGGCAATGCCGGTCTCACAGTCCTTGGAGGTTTATTCAGACTGAGTGTCAGGCCGTGACTGCCTCTTCAAAGAAAGGAACCTTGCAATAAGAACTGCACCGGTGATCGACTGGTCTGAGGTTAATTCAATGGCTTCACCCACATTACCTTCCCTGGGCCGTAATTTTGACTCGCCTTCGAGTGGAAATGTCCCCAGAATACAGACGTGAGGTATGATGGGTGTGGTGCGATTCACGCGTCATTATAATGAGGTCATCGGACAAAACGCGCTAAAACATCATGCCTACCATCATAACGGAAAAAATAAGAATTTATAAGAAGAATAAGTAAAGAAAT